CCATGGATTTCAGCTGAGAATCTGGTGCAAAGTCAATATGTGTCAGCGAAGTACATTCTGCAAAGGCCAAGCGACCAATCGATTCCAAATGCAGTGAGAGGGTCATTGCAAGGAGGGAATGACACTGGGAAAACGCTTGATCCCCAATTTGGTGCAAATCTCTTGGAAGGGCAACCGACATTAGTGAATCTTGTTGAAAAAAGGCATTGTTGGGAATATGATTGACGGAAATGTCGACCATAACATGAGTAGGCCCTGGTATTGTTGCTAAAGTGTGGGCTCCTCGATAGATGTAGAAGTTGGTATTCCATGTCTCTTCCCCATGCCCAGCTGTCTTCGTGAGACCCAAATCTGCTTGCTGTCCGTCGTCTTCTTCATCGCCATCATACATTGAAGCTGCCGTTTTGCCACAGGGCAATTCTAGAATAGCCTGGTGATTGCTGCTGTTCTTGGTCAAAAAGTAGAATTGATTCGAAAGAGAATATGCTTGTTTGTACTCTGTGCATTATTTATTGTGGATGCTCATCGGTGCATACCATACTCTCTATCTATCGAGCAAAACGTGCGTTGAGAATCAACTCGTGACAGCAACAGACGTCAGTCCCGAACATGGTGTCACGAAAGCCACGATGATTCCAGGTTGTTGCAATGATACTCCTGTAGGGATAGAAGAAGCCAATGGAATGCATGCTGCTTCATGGAACAGTAGACACGAATATTTCACACCTTTCACCCCACAACCTTCCAGTCTATGTACAGTACCTGGTACCTCCTGGTATGGTACTGTGCCAAGCATATTGTCCTGACGGACACTCGGTCGGACAGTTCGATTCCACAGGCATGACCTGTCCGTCATGTCATTACGTACGTCAAAAATCGCGAACGCGAAACTCGATTTGTGCGCGTTTTTCGCACACTTTTGCTGTTTCGTTTCGCTGTCCAAGAATCCTCCTCCAATGATTGATACCTACAAGCCAGCATGCTTCCTCAAAATGGCGCTCAAAGATGATGCATGAAAGAGTACTATGGAATGTGACAACCCGCCTGGCAAATCAAATATGACGAAAACCTACAGATCATGGCTGAATGATTGGTGTGCATTGTTGCTTGTTGCCCCGTCACCAGGAATAAGAATGACCAGGTTTCCAGTTGTATCTAGGCAACAACCTCCTCCCATGACATCCACAACAAGGTAGAATACAATATATTAACATTCAACTACAAAATTCGATCTAATTCTAAGCCAGTGTAGAGTTGAATTGTCATTGTGGTGAGGTTTGGCTATTTGAATATCGTCGTCTGCACTTCAATCGTCCAATTCATGTTTAGCGTGAAAGTACTTTGATAGGTCCAAATCCACGCTAAACATTCACGCTAAACGGCTCACCGCATAGCGAAACAAGGAAATCATAGCAATCGGATCAATCAATTTTCACATGCGACGCCTTTGCTTGGAATATTTGTTCGTCATCATCACATCAGCCGATACTGGAACTACTATTACCCTTTAAGTATTGTTAATTATTATCTTTAAGAAGTGTTGCCAACTTAGCCTATCTTTAGCCTCGCTACCCAATATATCTTTTCGTTTGGACTATTGATCTGAGGTGGCGGTTTGTCACCAGTCCGTGATGGCCATTGAATTTGATTGCGCTGCCAAAGTATATTTAATGTTGAATCAGTTTCCTTCTAAAGGTCTTCAAAGAAAGGGTGCACGCTGAAACAGCCTCCGGATCGCCATCAGCATCAGGATCAACATCCATGGCGTCTCCATTGTCCTCCTCGTCCTCCTCGTCCTCATCACTGTCATCACTCTCTTCGGTCGAGCGATCAATACCCACTCCCACGCCAGAGGAATCATGTGTAAGCATGTCATTGACAGCAGCAGGTGGGATTCGTGGCAATGCCGTTCCGAGAATGTCCTGAATATCATCCATGTCATGATCACCGTGGTCTGCTCCGAGATAGCTTGACACATACCATCCTGTATCCAACCCATCCTCTTCCAACAAAAAGTTGTGGAGAGCACAGCAAGTTAGCCATATTCTGTCGCAAACTTCAATGCCATGTAGGGGGATTCCTGTCTTGAGGATGCGGAAGCGCCCTTTCATTACACCAAAGGTATACTCAACATCTTTCCTCATACTTTCCAGCCACTTGCTAAAACGCATCTCAGAGTATGTGGTCCACAGTTTCATGGGAGGCACTAACACTGACCACCGAAGATATATATTTTCAACGACGATGGTCCAAGCACCACAGTATTTGACCTCTTTCACACCTCCATCGCCATCAGGTTCAAGAAGAATGAAAGTGAGGTCCTCATACCGCTCCCCCTTTTTGAGTTGATTGGCGAGTTCATCGAAATGGATCAAAGACTTGTCCGACCACCGCCCAGGATGACCTCTAGTAGTACAGAGAATGTGGCGGCGGTGGTTTACTGTCGTGTTGTAGGTGTGGGTGGGCAAATTGTCAGAATGTCAAGATGGTCTTGCTCTGACTCCTCATTTTCCCTATGTCTTCGGTATTTCAAGTACAAAAATGGGTCAATATCTCTTGTAGCCGGGTTATTACAGCTAATAAGCCGTGTTGGAGGGCCATGGGTTGAGCATTGCCCATGATGCCATGGATCGGAGTTTTTTTGTGTGATCAAATCCTGGTTGGTTATGGGACCCCAAAATCCAACCAACCAGAATTTCAGTTTCCAAATTTCCCGAAACAGAGGTGGTCTGTAGAGGTTGGTAGGAAATCCACGTTTGTACAGATTATTACATACATAATTTCCTGTTTCGCGTTCGCGATTTTTGACCGTGTGGACCAGCCTCACGCCGATTCTACGCGAAACCGTTTTCACGACTTTCCGACCCGCCGAACGTGCCAGCGTGAAAAAAGTGTTTCTACACGAGCCGAAAAATGGAAAACCCATTCGGCTGGCACGAAATCAAAATCGGAAACCCAAAATCATGGTCAATTTCCGGCTGCCCGAATCCAAAACCGTTTTTTCAGATTTGGTCCGAAATGGTATGCCTCGAGGCCTCTTTTGATAGATTCACCACAAGAAAATCGATGCACAGATAACAGTAGCTACAGGTTGTTATCCTCTATCTTGGTTACATGCAGTGGTTTGAGCACATTGGTTTCTTTGGTCTCCGAATTGACCACTAAATCCCCAACAACAATTTCGAAAGGTGGTTTTGGAACTCTCGCCAAGTCCCCATGGCACTAGAAGTGGTAGCTGTGGCTGTAATATATCCTTTTGGTGCGGGTGCAGACTTGGATACGCGTGGATGGCGTCTTCTGCTGTCCCTTCACGACAATCAACGACATTCAATCAAACCTTGACATTGATTTGATTCCTTCATGGGAGCACTTTGAGCGTTTCAGGTGGTAATCCTAATGCCAAACGAAATTCGATACCCACCGATATGTATACCACGCCATCATCTGTATTTCATGTTTAAGATTGGTCCCAAACTGTCCCAATGAACTTGTTCTAATGAATTTCTTCTGATGAGTCGCCCTGTGAGGTCCTGAAAGGGCCCAACAAGCAGAAAATTTCAAGTCTCTAAACAAAATCGTAATTGAAAATATAGACACCTCTACTATAGATAAACATCACAAAATTGCTGGCTGAAGTAGCAGTATTTGTAATCACAACATGCTCTTTTCTACTGTACTGTATGGTTTGGGCTCTTTCCTCTGCTGGTAGTCGGATGGGTCAATTGTATATGACTCGATCGACCATCACGAATTTCCGGCTACAAAAATCGACTTTTCGGGTAGAAACAGTCCGTGCCGGCGTCCGTTTTCAGGAAAACCCGTTTTCGAAGCCGGATTTCCCGAAAACGGGTTGGGGCAAAACGGACTCGCGTAGAATCAATCGGCCTCCTTCTTTTTAAAATTTGACGATAGTACAAAACCGTTTTTTGCAGTCCATCGTCAAAAGAAGACGGAACACGGAATTGAGAATGGCAAGTGCCGCTGTCGTTGATGCGGTGTGCGATCGTGACTTTGCTGGTCTGATAGAATTCCTTCGTATCGGTGAATTCACCATAGAAACGAGCTTCGGGGAGAACAGTGGTAGGACTCTATTGCATGATGCCTGTTCAAACGGTGATTTTGAGATGGCGGAGTTCGCGTTGAACCACGGTGCTGATGTAGACGCCAGGACAAATGATGGAGATACGCCGTTGCATGTCGCCTCCACCGTGGATCAAGTCCAAGTGATTCAACTTTTGTTGAAGCACGGTGCTGATATAGAAGCCAGGACAAATGATGGATTCACGCCGTTGTGCGGCGCATGTCTCGTCGAAGGCAATGTCGATGTGATTCGAGTCTTATTAGCCCAAGGTGCTGAGATAGAAGCCAGGACAAATGATGGAAGTACCCCGTTGCACTGCGCGTGTCGCCAAGGCAATTCCGAGGTGATTCGAGTCCTTTTACCCTACCGTGCTGATATAAACGCCAGGATAAATGATGGAAGTACCCTGTTGCACTGCGCGTGTCGCCAAGGCAATTTCGAGGTGATTCGAGTCCTTTTAGCCCAAGGTGCTGATATAGAAGCTAGGACAAATGATGGATTCACGCCGTTGTGCGGCGCATGTATTGAAGGCAATGTCGATGTCGTTCGAGTCTTATTAGCCTACGGTGCTGATAAAGAAACCAAGAGTGTTGGACATACCCCGTTGCATTTCGCCTCCAGTATGGGGCAAGTTCAAGTGGTTCAACTTTTATTGAACCACAGTGCTGATATAAAAGCCAAGACAGATGATGGAAGTACCCCGTTGCACTGCGCGTGTCGCCAAGGCCATTTCGAGGTGATTCGAGTCCTTTTAGCCTATGGTGCCGAGATAGACGCCAGGGCAAATTATGGAATTACGCCGTTGCTTCGTGCATCTATTCGTGGCAACGTCGATGTGATTCGATTCTTATTGAACCGCGGTGCTAGTATTTTGACAAGTGCAAAAGATGGAGTTACACCGTTGTATTGTGCCGCTCGTCAAGGGCATGCCGAAGCTGTTCGACTCTTGTTGAATCGGGGTGCCGATGTAGAAGCACGGACTAATTCTGGTCATACCGCATTGCATTCTGCGAGCAATGAACGAGTGGTTCAAGAATTGGCCGACCATGGCGCTAATGTGGACGCACGAGATGGATTCGGGTTGACACCTTTGTATCATGCTGCAAAGGACCATCGCTTGGGAGTCCTGAAAAAGCTTTTGGACAGAGATGCCGATATTGAAGCACAGGACCGTTTGAGACGTACGCCACTCGCTTTTGCATGCCATTACGGTTTTGTGGAGGCGGTTCGGCTGTTTCTGGACAGAGGTGCAAATATGGAAGCAAGGCCTATTCCTGGATTGACTCCATTGGATTTGGCATGTCGTAGTGGTTGTGTGGAGGTCGTGCAAGTGCTTTTGAATCGCGGTGCCGTCTATGAGAGACCTATTGATGAAATGACGCCATTACATTACGCAGCAATTCAGCGGCATAGAGAAGTCGTC